TCTTCTATCCACCTCCCCCTCTCTCCCTATTTATTTCAGAATCCCCTCCCCCTCCCCCATTTCTGAAGAAGGGTCTAGGCCCGAAACGTCAGCCTTCCTGCTCCTCTGTTGGTGCTTGGCCTGCTCGGTTCATCCAGCTCTACACCTTGTTTTCTCAGTATTAGTATGGAAATAGTGTTGTGGAAACTAATGGGATTGAAGCCTGACTAATCCCCTAGGGCCCAATAATCTACAACCCATTGTACTTAAGGAACTGGCCTATGATTCTGTAGACTCTGGAACGATTTCTATGGATTGGAAGGTAGCTAATGTAACCTCACCTCTTTTAAAGAGGAGAGAAGAGAGAAAATGGCATTACAGACAGGTTAGCCTGACATTGGTATAGGGAATATGTTAGAGTCCGTTATGAAAGATTTAATAGCAGAGCACTTGGAAAACTGTGGACTAGGGTTGGACAGTCAGCATAAATTTGCAAAAAGCAAGTTATGCTTGACAAATCTTTTAGAATTTTTTCAGGGTGTAACTTGTAGAGCTTACGAAGGGGAACTACTTGATGTGGTTTACTTGGACTTTCAGAAGGTGTTTATTAAGATCTAATGTGAGATTAGCAGGTAAAATTATAGCACATGGGATTGAAAGTAACCTTCTTACATAGAGAACTGGCTGGCTGGTAGAAAACAGTAAGAATAAATTTTTTTGAATGGCTGCCAGTGACCAGTGGGTGTACTGCAAGGTCAGTGCTTAGATCTATTCGCAATATAGATTAACGATTTAAGTGAAGGAACTAAATGTAATATCTCCAGGTTTGTAGATGAGACAAAGCTAGGTGGGAGGGCGAACTGTGAGGTGAATGTAGAGTTGCTTCAGTATGATTTGGACAAGTAGATGGGTGGACAAATGCATGGCAGATGAAGTATAATGTGGAAAATGTGAGGTTATCCACTTTAGTAGCAAAAGCATGGAGCCTATTTGAATGGTAATAGATTAGGAAAGGATGTTCGTGATGGGAGCCCAGAACCTTGGGTCATAGTCTAAGGAAAAATATAGACTATTCAATACTGAGATGAGGAGAAATTTCTTCACCCAGCGTGTGTTGAGCTTGGAATTCTTCGCAACAGAAAGGCCGAGGTCTAAGTGTTGAATAAGATTCAAAAAAGGAAATTGATCCCTTTCGCCCTAAGCGCCATATCTAAGCATATGGGGAGAAAGCAGGCACAGGATACTAAGTTGGATGATCAACCGTGATCGTATTGAAAGGCAAAGAGCTAAATGGCCGCTTCCTGTTTATATTTATCATGTCCATGTCTGTCTTGCAAGAAATATTTAGCAACTTGCTTAAATTTGGAATAAACTTGGTGAATGTTGCATTACGGTTTTGCTTCCCATGGAAGTAATTGTTCCTAGAACTGAGAGAAATTTTTAATCAGTCAGGATTTGAGGATTATGTGGATAACGCGGAAAAGTGGAGTTGAGGTTTATCAGATCAGCCATGATCTCGTTTAATGACGGAGCAGACTTGATGGGCCGAATGTTTTACTTCAGCTCCTATTGTCTTCTCAAAGTATTCTCAATGTGGAACTTGCTCCCTCCTTGCATGTTGGCCAATAAGACCTCAATCAGAATTGACCCTCCAGTGTGATGTGGTGCAAGTACTTGTGCCATCTAGTTTGGTTTGCTTTGATGTAATCAAAACTGGTCTGAATAGATCAAACTTGAAATCCACTCTGACGAGTTAGTCTGGTTTGGGCTTCCTTGGACTTCTGTTCTTGTATTTTAAGGAACTAAACTCATTTGTTCCTTCCACATCCATGTGGAGGTGTGATGGTCTAGTGATATTATCGCTAGATTATTAATTCAGAGATCCAAGTAATATTTTGGGGACCTGAGTTCAAATCCCATCATGGCAGATGGTGGAATTTGAATTCAATTGATGTCTAGAATTTGGGGGCTAATGATGACTGTGAAGTCATTGTTAATTAGTGAACCAGACGGGTTTTTCCAACCAAGTCCTGTAGGGAAGGAAACTGCTGTCCTTACCTGGTTTGGCCGTTATGCAAGTGGTTGATTCTTAACTGCCTTCTGGGCAATTAGGGCTGGGCAATAAATGGTGGTCCAGTTAGCAGCTCCCACATTACACGAATGAATTAAAATAAATAAATATTACATTAAATACGCAGATACATTGCTTGGATAAAATTGGCCTGTAAATTTCAAAATGCCACCTCTTTGCTTTAGTCATTCACATCTTCATTGGCTGAGGCTTCCCCATTGTCTTGCCAGTTGGGGTCTGACAGGAATGGTTGATCTGACAGCACCCATTTTTTCCTGTGATTGTACTAGTCTTTTCATACAACGTTTTTAATGTATGAGATAACAAGGTGTAGAGCTGGATGAGCACAGCAGGCCAAGCAGCATCAGAGGAGCAGGAAAGCTGACGTTTCGGGCCTGGACCCTTCTTCAGAAATGTATGTTTGTCTTTACAAAGTATTCTACCCTAGTTGATTGATTGTGGTGCTTGTTATCTGCTGGTAACATTGTTTCCTCACTTGTTATCTGTGGAAAATATTTGCAAATAGTCTATAGTCTTTGTACCTAATGTGTGTTTTAATTTGGTCCAGATATTTAATAAAAACCATGTTCTTCTTTCCTCCTCTCCAGCTTGAGAGGCAGCTGCACGAGGATGAACAATTTGCTAAAACACTGGCCGTGTTGGATGAATTGCCAAAAAGTAAAAAGGTAACTGTGGCAATAAAAATCTACCACATTAAAATAGAGCAATAGAGTGATTTCTAACATAATTATGATGTTTAGAGAATTTGTATTTCATTGTGGGAGTAAATTCGGAAATGTCTAATTTGTAGCTAGTAGCAAAAAATTTTAAAGGTGGCATTTTAAAATTTCTTGGGCAATTTCATGCAAGTAATATATTTGTGTATTTAATGCAGCAGTTATTGATGTGGAAGGAACTATGGCCTTAGTTTCTTAAAATACAGGGAAAATATGCCCAAGGAAGCTCAAAGTAGATTAACTGTCTCTGGTGTGGTTTTCAAAGCTGAACTACTGTGACCAGCTTTGGATCACGTTTGGATCAGTCACCAATACCTGAATTAAGGCTATTGTAGAACCATTCCCCAAATTCTACTTGAAAAGTTCACTTCATTCCAATCATTTTCAGGCACGTACTGATTCTGAAGGCCAGGAACTGTCTTTATCCTTGGTTGTAAAGGCTGAACCCCGTAAAACAGATGAACAAGCAGGAGAACATTCTGGTAAATGTATGTTTTGAAAAAGTGATTGTGTGCTTTTGATAAACCCCAAGGTTGAGCGTTAATGCTGTTGAACCCTTAAATTTCTGACTTTTTCAAGGAATTCCAAACAGCCTGAGGATAGACTGTTCCTGGATAGTGCTACATTAAACCCTAATATGAAGGTAGTGGTAATTCAATGCTAAAGATAACTTTCCTTGGTGTTTAGGTTTCCCTAATTGTACAAAAGCATTAAACAGGTCACAGTACGAAATGTGTAAAAGGAAGGATAATTTGGATAAAACTTAATTGATAGACATGAAATAAAAAGTTAGAGTTAATTAATCAAAAACAAAGTTACTGGAAAAGCTCAGCAGGTCTGGCAGCATCTGTGAAGATGGCACTGTGGCTCAGTGGTTAGCACTGCTGCCTCACAGCACCAGGGACCCGGGTTTGATTCCACCCTCGGGTGACTGTCTATGTGGAGTTTGCATATTCTCCCTGTGTCTGCGTGGGTTTTCTCTGGGTGCTCCGGTTTCCTCCCACATCATAAAGATGTGCAGGCTAGATGGATTGGCCTTGCTAAATTGCCCATAGTGTTCAGGGGTGTGTGGATTAGGGTTATAGGGGAATGGGTATGGGTGGGATTCTCTGAGGATTGGTGTGGACTTGTTGGGCCGAAGGGCCTGTTTCCACACTGCAGGGATTCTATGATTCTGTGGTTAATGTTTCGGGACCGGTGACCCTTCCTCAGAACTGATGGTGGCTGGGAAAACGTTGGTTTGTATGCAGAAAATAAGGAGGGGCATGGGGTAGGAAGTAAATGATAGGACAGAGCCTAAAGAGAGAGAAGAACAGTTGGACAGATAAAGGAGTTGATAACGATCTGGCTGGGAAGGTGAATAGTTGTTAATGGGGACTATTAGTGACTAACTACAGTGGTGTGTAATGGCAGGCTGTGTGGTAGCAAGGCCTGGTGTGTGGGGTTGGGGGCTGGGACATGGGAGAGTTTAGGTTCTAAAATTATTGAACTCGATATTGAGTCTGGAGGGCTGCAGGGTCCCCAAGCAGAAAATGAGATGTTCTTCCAGCTTGCGCTGAGGTTCGCTGGAACACTGCAGCAAGCCAGAGACGGAGACGTTGGTCAGGGAACAGGGTCTTCTGGATGTGGAGATCATCAGATGCCATTTCCACTACCTCCAGCAAGATGCCATTCCCCTCCCCTCTCTTGTCTGCCTTCCGCAGGGACCATTCCCTCCGGGGCACCCTGGTCCACACTTCCTTCAGCCCAACCCCCCCCCCCCCACCCCCGACAGCCCTACGGCACCTTCCCCTGTCACCGGTGAAGGTGCAACACCTGCCCATTTACCTCCTTCCTCCACAGTATCCAAGGGCCCAAACATACCTTCCAGGTGAAGCAACAGAATCTAGTCTACTGCATTCGTTGCACACAATGTGGTCTCCTGTACATTGGGGAAATGAAGCGTGGACTGGGTGACCACTTCGCAGAATATCTATGTTCTGCTTGCAAAAAAGACCCTGAACGACCTGTTGCCTGCCACTTCAATGCACCACCCTGTTCCCTGACCCGAAACGTCAGCTTTGATGCTGCCTGGCCTGCTGTGTTCCTCCAGCTCCACACTGTGTTATCTCTGACTCCAGCATTGGCAGTTCTTACTATCACCCTCCCAGCCTAATTGTTATTAACTCTTTGTCTGTCCAACTGCTCTTCTCTCTCTTTAGGCTGTATCCCTATCCTTTGCTCCCTACCCCATCCCCCTCCCTTTTATCTGCATATAAACTGACGTTTTCCCAGCCACCATCAGTTCTGAGGAAGGGTCACTGGACCTGAAACATTAACTCTGTTCTTTTCTTCACAGATGCTGCCAGACCTGCTGAGCTTTTCCAGCAACTTCTGTTATTGTTCCTGATTCACAGCATCCGCAGTTCTTCTGGTTTTTATAGAGTTAATGGATGTTGGTTTGTCTGGAGAAAGTATTGATTTCTCAGCTGTTCATTTTTGTTCTTGCTATATACAGATGATCTGAATTTACAGACAGGCAACATGATGCTAGAATTGGCCCGTACGCTTTTGTGCTTTTGCGAACCTGTTAATTTGGAGGAAAATACTTGAAGACAAAGAGATTAGTGGAGGGAAAAGGCAGAAGCATGATAAAACTTGACATGGGGAGGTGTAAGGCAGTGGGGGGGGGTGTAAAAAACAAAAATAGAACTCGACCCTCAATGGAAAGATGGTGCAGTGCTTGGATGAACAGAGATTTCCACAGGCTCTATAGGTTGAGCAGCATTTGTAGACAAACAGAGTTCATGTTCTATGTCAACAACCATTTGTCAGAATTGTAAAAATTTAGATATGTGACAAACAATTTAAGCAATTACAAAGAGAAGAATAAAGGGCTAAATGATGAACAAACGAAGGGCATAATCTGTGATGAGGTGTGAGGTAGGTGTGATTAAATGACAAGGTTATGGTGCAAAGCAAAAGGAGATGATAGTGGGCCAAGCAACAAAACAAAATATCTGCAGAAACTATAATTGGCAACAGAAGAATCCTTACCAATGCCTGGTGTCTACAAAAATGGTAGCAATGGCTTTAATCCAAAATTGTTGAACTAAATGTTTAATAATTTTTTTTTTAAAACTGCATGGCCTTGCAGCAATTCAGTAGGTTATCCTGTTAAGTTACTGTTTTTGCACAGCTATGCAAAAGAAATAAGAGTGTGAACTTGTAAGCGATGTGCATTCAAAAAAGCAACTTAGTGGGAGCATGACGTTTAGTACTGAAGATTGTAAACTAAGCTTTAAAACGACAATGCAAGGGTCAAGGGCATATTAGAACAGAGAATTAAAATGACAAGTGACTAGCAGCTTTTCATGTGACCTGAATGGAGGTGATCAGAAAAATAAGAGGTAATTGGTGAATACAGTACACTTGAAAGAAATTACTATTTCACCTGGAAGAAGTATTTGGAGCTATGGACAGTGGGAAGGTGGTGGTGAAAGGGCAGACTACTCTTTCCACAGAAGCAGAGGAGTTGAAAAATGGGTGTTCATTCCTTGAATGTAAAAAGTGGAAATGGCAGAGCCTGTTTCTTTTAAAAACAATGTTAGCTTTATAAATGAAAGCTTGTGCGTACCCAAGTAAAATAGTAATAACTTTTTACCAAACATCGGTTCGACTATTATGTATGCTGTATCAAGCATTCCATTATGAAAATGACACTAAAGACAAAACAAAGTAAGTATGCATTCACCAGAATGACCCGAGGATTGAGAAAGTATAGTTGAGAACAGGCAGTCATAGCTGAAACAATAAAAGCGATGAAGGAATTTAATAGGTTTTAAAAATTTTGAAGGGCTTTGAATCAGAAGAAAATCCATGATTTATGATTGGTGGGCTGGTGAACAGAGTACTGGGTTAGTTCTTGGAATGCATTAAGAATGGCTGTCATAGGTGTAGTGTGCTGAATGACCACCTGCTATGCAATAAACTACTTTTGGTCCTGTGGATTATTTCAGTCTTTTGATCATGCTATTAAGTGCTCCAGTTACATAAGAACTTAAAAAGCTAGGAGCAGGGAGAAGCAATTCAGTCCCTCAAACCTACTCTACCGTTTAGTACAATCATGACTGATCTCATCATGGTCTTAACTTCATTTTCCTGCCTGCTGTCCTAACCCTACAAACCAATACTAATTAAAAATCTGTCTATCTCCACTTTAAATTTCCTCAATGTCCCAGCATTCGCTGCATTCTGGGCTAGTGAATTCCACAGATTCACGACCCTTTTGTGAGAAGTAATTTGTCTTCATCTCTGTTTCAGATCTGACCCCTTGTTCTAGATTGTCCCACATGAGGAAACGTACTGTCAATTTTGACAATATTTTGTCAATCCCTTTCAGCTTTTATATGCCTTAATTAGATCTCCTGTCATTCTTTAAACCCCAGAGTGTATAGGTCTGAACTGTTCGATCTCTCTTCATAAGACAAACCCTCATCTCTGGAATCAGTCTAATTGTTTAATGTGAGCTCAATAAACGTGCCTTCATGCCTCCTGCTTGAAGTGCATATGTGGAGTTGGGCATACATGCTGTGAGTAATTCCTTGAGTTCGAACATTTAGGATAACCACTGTGAGGCATGAAAAAGCATATATTGTTGGTGAAGCTGCATACTTGAAAGATGGGACACCGGACACTGGCTGAAAGGTCTTTCTGATTTTGGATGTGCATCTAGTTAGTCTACAAATGTCATGCTTATATTTTAGCAAACTATGACAATAAGCGAAATGTCCTCGTCAGCTCTCAATGATTTTAAAGATGTTAACTTTACTCATTAGCTGGGCGTGCCATATTGGGTAATGTTAATATTAAGATCCCTGAAGGATTCTATTCCATGATATTCTCATTTTGATGTGCACATTTTAAAAAGAACTTCACTAATTAAAATTTGCCTTAATTTTCAGCCAAGATGTTGAGTGAAACTGACAGTAATGTGAAAAATTGTACTGAAAAAATTGTAAGTAGCAAATCGCAGAGCTTGAGGACTTCTGCCCAACAGTCATCTGAATCTTCCGGTGCTAAAGTGGAAAAATCATCTAGTAAATTATCTCCAGTCAAAAGCAGTACAAAACTTGCTATCATGAAACATAAAGAAGAATTGACTCATGTGATAGGGAGCAGTCCAACAAGATCAGCCCGAGAGAAGAAAATGTCGCCAAGGAAAGAAGAGACAACTGGGCTTTCAAAGAAAGGACAAACCAAGATTACTCCAAAGAAAGAAAAAAAAACTGTCTCTTCAAATAAAGAAAAAATTTCTCCAAACAAAGAAAAGAAAATATCCCCAAATAAACCTGAGGTAGCAAACGCTTTGGTAACATTTGCTGTATTTTGGGTCAGATGCATGGTGGCTTGCTTCAGGTTGTGACTAGCTCCAAGTAGAAGTGGAAAATTTCTGATCAAAATTCTCCCTCTTTCTGTCAATAGGGAAAAATAGTTTTAAAATTGCAGATGTATTTTATCAGATTTCCTGCTTTGGGCCAACTTCCCTCCATAATATGCCACTGATTGAGAACAGTTGTAACCAGGATTAATTTATATATACTGTTATGCATCACTGTTTGGTTTGAGACTGGAGGAAATCCAGGATATATGTATGTGTGTATTAGTCTTAGATAAGTTCTTTGAAGAGAACATAGTCATAGTCATAGTCTTAGAGTCGTACAGCACGGAAACAGACCCTTTGATCCGACCAGTCCATGCTGACCATAATCCCAAACTAAACTAATTCTTTCTGCCTGCACTTGGCCCATATCCCTCTAAATGTTTCTTATTCTTGTACTTATCTAAATTATTTTAAACATTGTGACTGTGCCCACATCCACCAATTCCTCTGGAAGGCCATTCCACACATGAACCACTCTCTTCTTTGAAAAAAAAAATTGCCCTTCATGATTTTTTAAAAAATCATTCTTCTCTGCCTTAAAAATGTGACCCTTAATCTTGAGATCACCCACCCTAAGGGAAAGGCCCAGTCATTCACCTTATCTGTACCCCTCATTATTTTATAAACCTCTAAAGGTCACCTCTCAACTGCCTATGCTCCAGTGAGAAAAGTCCCAGTCTATCCAGCCTCTCCTTAAAACTCAAACCCTCCATTCCCGGTAACATTCTGGTAAATCTTTTCTAAACCTTCTCCAGCTTAATAATATCCTTCCTATAACAGGAAGACCAGACACTGGACGCAGTACAGAAGAGGCCTCACCAACATCCTGTACAACCTCAACGTGACTTCCCAACTCCTATACTCAAAGGTCTGAGCAATGAAGGCAAGCATGCTAAAGGCCTTCTTCATCACCCTATGTATATGTGATGCAAATTTCAAAGAATTATGTACCTGAATCCTTAGGCTCTCTGCTCTACGACACTACCCAAGACGTTACTTTTAATTGTATGTCTTGCCTTTGTTTGATTTACAAAAATGCAATGCCTCGCATTTATTGAAATTGAACTCCATCCGCGACTCCCAATTGATCAAGATCCCTTTGTAATCTTAGCCTTCTTCACTGCCCACTATACCATCAATCTTGGTGTCATCCGCAAACTTACTAAATATGCTTTCCATATTCTTATATAAGTCATTTATATAAATGACCAGCAAAAGTGTACCCATCACTAATCCCTGTGGAACAACATTGCTCACAGGTCTCCAGTCGAAAAAACAACCCTCCATAATCACACTCTGTCTCCTGCCGCTAAGTCAATTTTGTATTTAATTGGCAAGCTCACTGTGAATCCCAAATGATCTAACTTTGCGGAACCTTGTCAAAGGCTTTACTAATGAGAAAATATTTGAGTGTTTTCCAGAATTGCAGAACTATTTTGGTACAGCTCAAGACCCTTTGACCCATCATGTCTAAATCAGCTGTCTGAGCATAATGACCGAGAGCCATTGGCTCCATAACCATGCACATTATTTCTGTTTCAGTAATCATCTTACACACTGTTGAATGCTTTCAATTGAACCTGCCTCCATCTCACTTCCAGGCTGTGCATTTCAAGCCTGAACCACTGTGTAAAAATTTTTTTTGTCCCACATTGCATTTACTTCTTTAGCAAGTCATTTAAAATCTTTTTCTCAGCTAGGTCGATAGGTTTGACTAGATTTCAGAAGATTGAAAGAATGGAAAGAATTGGATCAACCACACTAGGCGCATTTTATTAAAATATCAGCTGGTTGGCGAGACCTTTTTATTTTGCAATGTGAAAATTCTGCTGTCTGAGTATCAAGGAATAAATATATATACAGCAATCTTTGTTTTAACTGGCACCTTATGAACCGGCACTGTCGATAAACTAGCAAAAATTATATAGCTCAATAATTTGAAAATTTTACTGTATTATTCTGTCCAATTATTATGTTTTTTTGATTTGTTTACCTCATTGTAAATATACTTGTTCACTGGAATGGCCTCGTGAATAATCAACAGTTGATTCAATTTCAAGTCAATTTCTCCTCAAATACTGTGGTCTACCGTGATGTTCGAGTAGTTAGTTGAGAGTGCGAGTGAGAAGGCACTTTGCTGTTAAGTTTTATTTAAAACAAAGCTGAGTTATTATTTGTGATTTATGCTGTGAATAAAGTACAATAGTGGTGTGTATACTCCTTGCAATATATTTCTATTACTTAATGTGTGTTTTTGCATTGATTATGTGGACCTCTTGATTAACTGGAATATTTGATCAATTGACACACTCCTGGTCCCAAAGGTGCCAGTTAATGAAGTGTTTATTGTAGTTGATCCTACTTTCCAGCCGTAACACATTTCTGTTGAACACATTAATCAGGAAAATATGCAGTTTAAGTCTGAGCGGTTCTTTCTTGGGTTGCTTGGTATTTCGAAGACAGTGTGTGCTCTCAGAAGCTATGTTTCTTTTTTCTCTAGTCTGAGAACCCAGAGAATGCTGAAAAGAAGCGTCAGAATTACCTGGCCTACCGTAGCTTCCTGAACCGTGATGGCCCTCGAGCCCTGGGGTCTAAAGAAATCCCTCAGGTATGTTGGTAAAAAGATGCAATAGCAAACGACCCAAAGATAGTTTGTATTTGTAAGAAATTCATTTTCATAACTTCAGTGGAAACTAATGTATTTGGAAGGCAGCATATACTATCGCATTCTTTTATGGTCAGTGATATTATCATTTTACCAATATCCCAAAGTTGTTACAACACAGGCTTGCCGTGTTTGCACCAGCTCTTCAAGTGAGCGTTTCACTTAGTGCTGTTCCTCTTGACGACTTCCCATAAGCTGGTACGTTCTTAATTTGTAGATAGTAAACAATGTATGAACTAAAAGGTTGTTTAAAATTTATTGCATGGTTTGATGACTTGTGTTATCCATATGTAATGAACCAAGACGGTAGGATATTTTGAAATGCATAATACGATTTTTTTTTCGTTCATGTGATATAGGCATTGCTGGCTGGGTCAGCTTTTATTGCCTGTCTCTAGTTGCCTTTGAGTTTGTGGTGAACTGTCTTCTTGACTGTCCATTGTAGGCACACACTTGGTACTGTCAGGAGGGAGTTTCAGGATTTTGACCCACTGACTCCGAAAGAATGTCATTATTTTTCCAAGTCACCATGGTGAGTGATTCAGAAGGGAACTTGTAAGTGGTGCTGCTGCTATGTTTCAGCTGCTCTGCCTTTCTGGACGATAGTGGTCATGCATTTGGAAGAAGCTGTCAAGAGAGCCTTGGTGAATTTCTGCAGTGTATCTTGTAGATAACAAACTCTGCTGCTACTAAGTATTTGCGGTGAAGAGAATGTATGTTTTTGGATGTGGTGGCAATCAAGTGAACTACTTTGTGATGGATAGTGTCAAGCTTCCTGAGTGGTGTTGGAGCTTCACTCATCCAAACAAATGGGAGTATTCCGTCACATTTTTGACGTGTGCCTTGTGGACAGACTTTTGAGAGTCAATAGCCGAGTTATTTCTGCAGGATTCCTAACCTTTGACCTGTTCATACAGCTTCAGTATTCATATGGCTTGCCCAGTTTAGTTTATGATCAGTGGTAACCCCAAGATGTTGATAGTTTAGGATTCAGTGACGGTAATGCCATTGATGTCAAAGGGTAACGGTCAGCAAACAACTATAGGCTTCCCAAGATCCTGGGTAATTTTTAAAAAAAAAAGTGGATGCTTTGAATCTATTTCTTTTGCTTGCAGCTTGTGGATACCAGTCTGTGAATGTACATCAAATTAGACAACTTATGACATCTGTTAATGTGTTTCTGTTATTGGACAGCACATGCTGAACCATCCCGAGTGTCCTAGCAGCTACCCTAACGTTCAAGTTAATATCTTCAGTGAAGTTCATAAAGTGGCTCAGTTATTCCTGATAAAACTGACATGAGTTTGTAGGCAGAGAATCAGTCTTTGCCAAAGGAATATATTCGAGCCTTGTGCTGTTTTAAATTACCTGGGAAAGGCATGGGATATAGTTTAAAAAAATTAAAACTTTAGATGTTGGAAATCAGAAACAAAAACCGAAATTGCTAGAAAAACTCAGCAGGTCTAGTGTGACAACTGGCCTTGAAATCTTGACTCTGCTTTCTCGCCACAGATGCCGCCAGACCTGCTTAGTTTTTCCAGCAATTTCTGTTTTTACTTGTGTATGGGAATTTTAGAGAGAGAGGGAGGGCTTTTCCTATATTGTAGGATTTAAAAACACATCAGTTCAGTGGGTTACAAGTCGGAAATGCTAGCTTGGCATTTCAGAAGGTGCAATAAGCTAACAGTTTTTATCCTATCTTGTAGCTGCACCTGTGAGATTAATTGGAGGGAATCCACTTTGTTTCGCTCTTTGCTGTTTACTTTCATGATGCCTTTGGGCATGTACAAGCTGAAAATTGAATTTTTTTTATTTATTAATGGGACAAGGGTGTCATTGGCTAGGCAGTATTTATTGTCCATCCCTAATTACCCAGAGGGCAGTTATGAGTCAACCACATTACTATGGGTATGGAGTCACATGTAGGCCAGACCAGGTAAGGATGGCACTTTCCTTCCCTGAAGGACATTAGTGAACCAGATGGATTTTTCTGACATTCGACAATGGATTCATGGTCATCGCTGGATTCTTAATTCCAGATATATTGTATTGAATTCACATTCCACCATCGTCTGTGGTGGGATTCGAATCTGGGTCCCCAGAATGTTATCATATTAACGGTCTGGCAATGATACTACTAGGCCATCAATTGAATTCTTTGTACTTCCATTTTGAACTAAGAGCTACAGCCAAGCTGTGGGGAATGAAAGGGAGAAAAGAAAGATTGGAAGGGAAGGAAAGGATGATGTCCACTTCAGCACCTCTGCATTTGTCATTCATTTCCAATCACTGATCAATAGCTGGCAGTCAGCATTTGTATTAAATTTTTGGAGGCCATGATTTGAAAAGATACTTAAAGAAAAGTTTACTTAAAGGAAAAAGGAGCAGTATGCGCTGTTGTAGTAATTACATAGAAGTTGGAACAATTCAATGTTGTAATGCTATACTTTTGAATGTATGACTTGAGCTTCACTGTTCTTGACATCCAATACTATTCACCTTCTGAAAAACTTTGTGTATTCAAGGTTCTTTAGATTTCATGGCCTATCTGCAGAGATTCAAATGAAGCATTAACATTTGAGTGGTCTTTTTCTGTGCTGTGTATTTGATGTAATCAACCTTGGTGCTTTCGTAATGCCAGACTTTAATAATTGTATCAGTCCTTCAATAGATCAATAAATGTCTTGTTTTTTTACATTGTTTAAAGATTTTGCACTTTTACCCCTCTCAAGTCAAAACCAATGTGTGGCAATTCTTACTATTTTTGCTATTCCCTAATTTTACTTCATGTACTGATTTGCTGTCTCCAGTACGCACAAATGGGGTTCTTGCTTTTTTTCCTGTTATCACCTCTGATTTCTGTCATTCCATCTATTGCTCCTGATCATGGGTAGGTTTTGCCTACACTGTACTTGTATTCCTGGACGGGACAGAAGATGAAGCTTGATGTCTGATCAGCATTTATTTCACCTCCACTCTGTCATGCCTTCTCAGATATCAAACACACCTTGTGCGAAGAGTCTTTACCTTCTGGTTAGAATGATTATTCAAATTCTTATCATTAAGGGAGCGGAGAACTGCTTGGAAGGGCTTTCGTTCGTTATTACAGGAGTCTTGGAGTCCATGGAACGTGATGATGCTAAATCTTTAATCGAACGCTACGGAGGGAAGCTGACAGGAAATGTTAGCAAGAAAACCAATTACTTGGTAACTGGTCGAGAAGGTGGACGAGCAAAACTGGACAAAGTAAGTACCCGTCAGTGCAACATGCTGAGCATTGTTCACACCAGCCTTTAAAAGAGGCACAATTGATACAGTCTGTTCTGAGTGCTGATGATTCTGTGCATTAAAAGTGGCCTTTGTGATATTGCAATTATGAAACTTATAATATTCTAATGAGATGTTAGCAGATATTAGAAGTACATTCAAAATTTGTTCTTTGCTGACCACTTTATTGATCTTTCTGGAAACAGTAATCATTGAATTTTAAAATGTTTTTAGGCTGAGAGTCTTGGAACAAAGCAAATTGATGAAGATGGATTGCTGGATCTAATTCGTAGATTGCCAGGAAAGAGATCCAAATATGAGATTGCAGCTGAAAATGAGGTCAGTTTATAAAGTCCTCAAACTTCTTTAAGTCAGTCAGTGGAACAGTCACGTTGCTAAAATTTGGTACGAATTTTCAATAAGAACCACCCAGTCCCAGTAATCGGAGTACGTTCTTCTTTGTCAATGGTCTGGGAAACTCCCCAGTAACATTTGTTTTCATACCATGTAGTGCCATCTGTCCACGTCCAGTGACATGGCCTAGGAACGTGACTTCGGCTTTTGCGAACTCATTCTTAGCTAGGTTAATCACCAAGCCCGCCTCCTGAAGTCAGTCGAACAATTCTGATAGATGCTCCAAATGTTTCCTCCATGTGTAACTAAAAATCACCGAAATGGTTAGTCTTTGAACTTTGGCTGGCACATTTTTCATGCCAAATGGCATGACTTTAAACTGGTACAGTCCATTTGGTGTCATAAAATCTAAAATTGTCTTTGCTGTTTTGGATAAAGGTACCTGCCAGTATCCTCTGAGTAAGTATAACTTAGAAATATAAGTTGCTTCTCCCCATTTTTCAATACAGTCTTCCAAACGTGGAGTAGGAAATGAGTCACATTTTGTAACTTCATTAACTTTGCGAAAGCCCGCACAATTGTTGGGTACTATCTGAGCATGCTTTTAATCTCTTTTTGAACCTGTGCCAACTTCAGAGCATTAAATCTTTAAGGATGTTGCTTAATTGGATCTGTTGCATTTTCTATACGTACATCATGCATAATTAGATTAGTACTTCCCAGCTTATTCCCACATATCTCCACGTGATTGTAATAACACTTTCAGGTTATTATAATTTTCCTCTGGAGGATAACTTAATAATTTATCCCAATTTTTGAGAACTTCCTTATTGTTCAATTGAATTTGAGGAATGTCCAATTCAGAATCATCTGAATTTGGCTCTTCAGTCTGTTGTAACCAGTAACTTATTCTCCTTTTGCTTTCCTTCTCTGTCAAAATACCTTTTGAGCATATTCACATGACACAGTGAATCTTCTGGTGTTCTTATCAAATAATTCACCTCACTCAATTTCCTTTCGATTTTGATAAGGCCCATTAAACCTTCCCTTTAAAGGTTCGCCCACCACTGTCAACATCCTGGGGGTTACCATTGACTGGAAATTCAACTGGACTTACCACATAAACACAGTGGCTACAAGACCAGGTCAGAGGTTAGGAATACTGCGGTGAGTAACTCACCACCAGACTCCCCAAAACCTGTACACCAACTACAAGGCACAAGTGAGGACAGCGATGAAATACTCCCCACTTGTCTGGATGGGTGCAGGTCCAACAACACTATCCAGGACAAAGCAGCACGCTTGATTGACACTACATCCACAAGCATCCACTCGATCCTCCAACGACGCTCAGTAGCAGCAGCGTGTACTATGTATAAGATGCACTGCAGAAATTCAACAAAGATCCTCAGGCAGCACCTTCCAAACCCATGACCACTTCCATCTAGAAGGACAAGGGCAGCAGATGCATAGGAATACCGCCACATTCAAGTTCCCCTCCAAGCCACTCTCAATCCTGACTTGGAAATATATTGCTGTTCCTTTACTATCGCTGGATCGATATCCTGGAATTCTCTCCCTGATGGCATTGTGGGTCAACCCAAGGCAGGTGAACCGCAGCGGTTCAAGAAGGCAGCTCACCACCACCTCTCGGGCAACCAGGGACGGGCAGTAAATGCTGATCAGCCAGCGATGCCCATATCCCACAAACGAATATATATTTTTAAAAAAAATTAGGCGTAACACTAACACTTTATCTGCACCAGCAAAATTGCAAATTTTCAATCTTTTGTCTGCTTCCTGTCTCATCGCTGCTTTTGAATGCTGTCTAGCAAACTCACCTGCTCTATTTAATCTTTCCCTAAAAGTTGACGCATAGTCCAAATATGTGGTCTCTGAACTCTGACTCACCAATTTCCTCTTCATTAATTTCAGTGGTCCTCTCACTTCATGCTCAAAAACTAATTCAAGTGGATTAAATTTAGTTGATTCATTAGGTGAATGTCTGATTGCAAAAGTACAGGTGGCATTCCTCTGGATAGTCTTGACTATAAGCCCTGAACAAACTCTTTAAAGTTTGATGCCACCGTTCTAAAACTTCCTGCAATCCTGAATAGTACACAGTGGATTTGAATTGTTTTATTCCTAAGCTGTCCATAACTTCCTTGATTAACTTTGAAACATTTGGCCATTGATCTGATTGTACTTCTGTGAGTAATCTGTATCTAGTGAAAAATTTGAGTCATTCTTCTTCAATCCTTTTAGCTGTGATGCTGCGTAAGGGAGTGGCCTCTGGAAATCTAGTAGACCATCCATTATGGTCAACAAATACAGATTCCCACTTTTTTGTTTTGAGTAGAGGTCCTATGCAGTCAATTAAGATTCTTGTCAAAGATTTTTCAAATGTAGGAATGGCTTTTAAGGGTGCTGGTGTTATCACTACCCGAGGTTTTCCCATTACCTGGCACATCTGATATGTCTGGCAAAAGTCAACCACATCCTTAAGCAAGACAACAAGGTGCAGGGCTGGATGAACACAGCAGGCCAAGCAGCATCATATCCTTAAGCAGTCCAGGCCAAAAGAATGTTTTTGTATTTTGGCTTGTGTTTTTCTTACTCCCAAATGACCACCTACTGGTAATTCATGGCTACCCGCAACGCCTCCTTTCTGTAACCCACCAGTCATACAACTTGATGAACTTCTGCCCATTTTTCATCTGCCTGGATATGCAATGGTCTCCATTTCAGCATCAAGACTTCATTTTTAAGGTAGTAATGTTCTGGGATAAACTCGTTCTTCTATGTATGCTTTTGATACAGATGCTTTAGTTTTTCAATTTTCTGTTGTAATTCAGTTAATTTTTCTGAACTAAAAATATCCACTTTGTTCTCCATCTGTTCTTGTTCTTTTTCTTTTTCTCAACCATTTGATCAGATAATTTCTGATAATTGAAGTTCAACTTCTTTATCATTACTCCTTGGTTTTTCCTGCTTTAACCTGTGGCTTTGTGACCTTGTTACCACATAGTCAGGAAAAATCCCAGGATAACTTCTTGTAATATCTCAATTGTCAGATTTTTCCACTGGCTTTTCAACCACAGTAGCTATCACTCTCACCTGTATTCCAGCTATATCATTACCAAGGATGAACTGTGTGTCTGGAACTGAGAATTTTTCTATTACTCCTACCATCACTTAGCCACTCTTCACCGGACTCTCCAACTTCACCTAAAATAATGGAACACTGTTCTTCTTTTCTGGCAATACTCTTTCTGAATTACATATCTCCTCATCTCTAACAATCAAAGATTGACTTGCTCCCTTTTCTCACAATTTTAATTTCTGTACTTATTTCTCCTGGTACACAAGTAAATCTTGCCTGCACAGGTAGATTCTTTAAAGAGATCGGTTACTGTCTTATTAACAAACCCATGGTCAGGTTGTACATTCTTTTGCAGCTTTTTAGTTTCCACTGGGATTTCCTTTATCACTTCAACAAAACTCACTGGCTTATCCTGTTTTTCCATATCCGTCTTCCCAGTGCTTTTTCCAAACCACCAACACTGACTTCATGTGGCATGCTTTATTGCAGTGAAAATACCTGAGCTTTTTTACTACTTTCCCTGTCATGGGTTTCCTTTTTACCCTGTGGTAAACCATCTTTACTATCTTCAATGAGATGTCCTTTTCCCTTACCACCTGACGACTTCTCTTTTTTTTTTCCCCCAATTTTTATCCTTCCCAAATTGAAAATGATGTCAGAAGCCAAACTTTGATTTGTGAACCATCTCAATCATCTGCCATTTCTGCTGCTAATCTTGCAGTGTTGATTTTCTGCTCTTTCGCAAGTCTTCACTACTTCCGGAAATGAATTTTTGAACTCCTCTAAAATAATCATCTCTCTAAAAGCATCTATATTTGAACTACTTTCATTATATTCCCCAGATACTTCCTGTGACAATGATGCAAGTACTTCACTAAATCTACCTAAAAACTTTGTTTGGATCAAAATATCCACATTGGCCATTTTATTTGTCTCGCCACTTTCTCGAAATCAGAAAGGTTTCTATATTCTTCTCGTCGAACTTAGGCAATGTTTGGACATATTTAAACCAGTCCATACCAGGCCTTTGGCTGCAATGGTATTGCGCTCTCTCACTGTCCTCATCACTACTGCTTCCTTTCACTTCCACTTCCGCCGTTTTAAGTTGATATGAGTTTTCAGTTCTAACCTCCGAAGTTCAAAAACTCTCTCTTTCCCCCTTTCTTCTGCCTTTAATCATAATTCAAACTGTTTAATTTACATTTCTTTTTCTTTTTGTTCTGCTAGGGCTTTCTTTTTCCCTTGCCATTGCCTCTAATTCAAGCTGTTGCATTTGCAGTTGAAGTTTAGCCATTTCCAAAGATTGCGAGTATATTTCTGGCCTTCGTGAATGTTGAGTTATTGCTGCCATTAACTCCCCCTTCGCACAGACAAAAGCAACACCAACTCCAGCTTATCTGCCAATTCCAAAAGCTTTGCCTTGCTCACTTTCTGTAAAACTCCTGAAATGACTCCTTCCACCCCCAGGAAACTCTTATTGACTGAAAGAGTCATTACTACACAAAACACACTCTATTTAAACCAACCAAATGCAACACCTGAAAGGAGGATACCAACACTCGCTGTCTTTGAGTCCAATAATCCTAAACCCAATTTGAAATTAGAGATTTTGATTGCAGATGAGCCCTTAGTTTGTTATAGACAGACCAAACCCCCTCAAAATATAGATAGTCTATACCCCAACTTTTTTCATAGCTTTAAAAGGCAGGCGTAAGGCATGTATTCCGGATAAACTGCGATTGATCAAACTACCAGACTTGAAGCAAGACACACTTTTTGGTTTGTTTTTATACTATAGTTAAAATACAAAGAAAGAAGAATTGGAATAACTTAACTGAATTGGAAAACTGGACAGAATAATAGATTATCTAACTGCTAAACAGCAACTGTACCAATATAGAAACATCCTATAAACGCACTCTTGGCAAAGGCAAATTCAGTAAACTAGATTGCCTCACAAGTAATTCTAGCAGCAGGAGGAGAACTCCAAGCTTTTAGCTGTAACAGGGAAAGGAGTAACAGCTTTCACATTCAGCTTCAAGACCCCAGCAACTGTTGAAAGTTAAATTAGAATCCTGGTTCTGTGGGAGTTTGACCCCACCCCTTTGCACTACTTCTATTGTTCCAATTTGAAAAAGCCCAAGGCGCCTCAATCTGTTTACTTTATTGGCTTGGAGCAGACCACTTGGTACCTCTGTCTCAGCTTCTCTTTTTTTTAAAAAAAATGGACAAAATGCACCTCTTAAAGCCATAGTATTGTTGCAACCAGGGCTAAATACTGGTTCTGATGTTTTTATATCTCTTCTACTCACTACTGCTCCAGCCTGCCCTAGTATCATCAGTAGTTTCATTTCTGCAAATAATGGACTGTGTTTTATGGATGGGCTGATGGCAAACTGGCAGCGTTTGCTATTATTACGTCTCTGAAACTGATCATAACTTAAAAACCTGAAGTTGCAATCTGTCAATTAAGCTGTGCTGTTTAGACAAGACAGTTGCAGCAATTGTAAATGCCTCAGAAATCATTGTTTAATCCCTTCTCAGCAAGCCGTAAAGTTGCTGAATATGTTTCACGAGATTACTGTTGAGACTCTTTTTACTGTGTTTTTAGGTAAGAGTTCAATCCTTTAAGACTCAAACTGTGGGATTCAGACAAGAATATTTGCTAATTTAGTTAACATTTTAAACAGTAAATTTTCAGGCTTGCAGCATGCCAAGTCTAGTGACTCATGCTTTTAGTACTGCACATTAGCTACTTAATGAAGTAACAAACATGTTCAAATCAATAAGGCAGCTCACCCCTAAAATTTCAGAACGTAAGTTGGTAGTGTTTACAGCTGTCGTAATCGTTGTAGAATCTTATTTACCTTTTTCAACAAAGTTAATTTAGTTTCAACTGCTTTGTTTACTTAATGCAGACAGATTTTATTTTCATTTTTTAAAATTGCAGGTTAAGAAATCAAATAACGCAAGAGAGAGTGGCAGGGTCATGCAGAAAGACGAACACCACAGCAAGCAGATCACACCGACATCGAAGAAGCATTGTGAAGATAAAAAGAGCAGTCCGTCAACACCTGAAAATGGCGAGTCTTCAAGATGTGCAAAGAGGAGCATTTTATTCAAAGCAGATCCTTTCGGCAATGAACCTGCCGTGAAATGTGAACCTCAATTGCAGACTTTAGTGAAGGAAGAGCAGAGTTTGCTGTGGGTGGATAAGTACAAACCTGCAGCGCTAAAGAACATAATAGGACAACAAGGGGAGCAGAGCTGTGCAAATAAACTAGTTCGTTGGTTGAAGAGATGGCATATGAACAACTCTGGAGACAGCAAACCCACAGGTGAGGATGACAAAATATTTATTTGTAACTTAATGCAGCGTCTGTTGAATCAGGAGTGGCTAATAGTCAGGTTTGCACTATTTATTTATATACGATTGCGTCAAAGTGCTATCTAGGTCAGTCCTTTCATAATTTCAGCCATCACTGTTTTTTTGAAATTTGGACTGTTTAATTCTTTCCAGAGTCACTTAGAAGCCTCCAGTTCTGAGGAAGGGTCACTGGACCTGAAACGTTAACTCGGATTCCTCTCCACAGATGCTGCCAGACCTGCTGAGCTTCTCCAACAACTTCTGTTTTTGTCACTTGGCGGTCTGTTTAGGAAGGGAGATATTTTTTTCCCCTGACAGACATAACAAATTACTAGTGTATTATACCTGTGCAGAGTGAATATTCTCATGTCATGAAATCATGAGCACGTGCAGAACAACAACTTTTCTTTTCTTTTTCCTTTATTCATTCACGGGATGAGGGTGTCGCTGCCTAGCCAGTCCATAATTGCCCAGAGGGCAATTCAGTGTCACCCGCATTGCTGTGGGTCTGGAGTTACATATAGGCCAGACCAGGTAAGGATGGTAGTTTCCTTTCCTAAAGGACATTAGTGAACCAGACGGGTTTTGCCAACAATTGACAATGGATTCATGGTCATCATTACATTCTATATTCCAGATATTTTATTGAATTCAAATTCCACCATCTGCCATGGTGGGATTTGAACCCGGGTCCCCAGAACGTTATCTGGATCTCTGGATTAACAGTCCAGCAATAGTACCACTAGCCATCACTTCACTTCCCGACAAATTTGTATGGAACCTTAAGCAAAGTGAGTTATTCCAAAGCTTTATTCATGGACAAAAACTGAAATAGCTGGAAAAGCTCAGCAGGTCTGGCAGCATCTGTGAAGAGGAATCAGTTAACGTTTTGGATCCAGTGACCCTTCCTCAGAACTGTGGAAGGGGGTTTGTAATGAATGAAAATTTGACTGGCCCCAGCTGCATAAGTTTTGGTTGCATCGCCAAAGCTTATTCATAGAATTTAATTTTGAAAGAGCCTTCTAAAGGAAAAGGAAGCAGTTTAGGTGAAGGCACAGCTGCTGCTGGAGAGATGAGGGAAATTAGGAATGCGTAAAAAGTCATAAATAGAGGAATGCAGAGATCTTGGAGGATTGTAGAGTTGGAGGAAGTGCAAACAATAGGCATGAGGGTGAAAACCTTTGAATTTAAATCACTGGACTTGTATAAACAGGCAAACTTGCCCCTGGTTTTACTCCATCTTGGTGTCCTGCAATTTGTGTGGCAGTATCTCTCAGCATTAGAATGAGGTCCTGCAGCAGGATACAGTCCCCCAGTTTCTCTGTTTGGTGAATTCAGACAGAGCAGACCCATGAACATTGGCTCCAGCTTTGGACATTGCTAAGAATACTTCCAACCCCTGTTAAGGGACAGGAAGCTGAAGGGGCAATGAGTTGAACCTCCAGTCAGCAATATCCTACTTCTCTGCTAATACTACTTCCATGTTCTAAATTATCCAGTGTGTTTCACTGGTGCTGTCTTCCGAATCTTGGAGGGAATATATTTGTGTTGAGTCTTGGAGGTGGGGGGAGAGACTTAAGTGAGCAATGACTGGGGCTACCATAGTGTTAAAAGTTTGGATGGTAAAGAATTTTCTGAAGAAGGGTCTGGGCCCGAAACGTCAGCCTTCCTGCTCCTCTGATGCTGTTTGGCCTGCTGTGTTCATCCAGCTCTACACCTTCTTTTGGGCAATAAGGCAGGGCAGGTGACTGAAGTAAAAGTGGGGGAACACTTTGGGTCTCGTGATCACAATTTTATTAGTTTCAAAATAATTATGGAAAAGGATAAGCCTTCCATAAAAATTAAAGTTTTTAATTGGAGTAAGGCAAATTTTAATGGTTTGAGACAAGAACTTTCAAAAGTTGATTGGAGTAGACAAATCGCAGGTAAAATGTTGTCTGACAAGTGGGAGGCTTTCAAGGGTTGATGAGAGTTCAGAGGCATTATGTTCCTGTTAGAGTGAAGGGTAAGGCTAGTAAGATTAAGGAACAATGGATGAATAAAGATATTGAGGCTCCAGTCAAGAATAAAAGATCTTATTTTACATGTAGAGAACTTGGTGCAATTGAATCTCTTAATCAACACAGAGAAATAAATTTTGATATTTTAAAAACCATTCACATTACAGAAGAGGATGTTTGGGAGGTCTCAGAATGTAAAAATGGATAAATCTTTGGGATCTAATCTAATGTATCCCAATTCGTTGTGGGTAGTTAGGGAGGAAATTGCAAAACCCCTTGCAGAAATATTTCTGTCATCTATAACTGAGTGAGGTGCCTGATGACTGGAGAGTGGCTAATGTTGTACCTTTGTTTTAGAAAGGTTATAAGGAGAAACTGGGGAACTATAGACCTGGGAGTGTGGCTTTGATTGTGGGTAAATTGTTGGATGTGATTTTTAAAAGAGGATTTATGGCCATTTAAAGAGTCAAAAATTGATTTATGGATAGCCAGCATGGTTTTGTGCAAGGAAAATCATGTGTCACAAACTTGATTGAGTTTTTTGAGGAAGTTACCAAAAATATTGAGGGCAGAGCAGTAGACACTGTTTAGTAAAGCCTTTGACAAGGTTCCACGTGATAGACTAATTAGTAAAGTTGAGTCAGGTAGGATTCAATGTGAGTTTGCCAGTTGGATACATAATTCGCTTACTGGCAGGAGACAGAGTATAGTGGTGGGGTGGTTGCCTTTCGGACTGGAGGCCTGTGACCAGTGGTGTTCCACAGGGATCGGTTCTGTTGTCATTAATATAAATGATTTAGATGAGAATACAGAAGGCATAGTTAGTAAGTACGTGGACGACACCACAATTGGTGGTATGGTGTTCAGTGAAGAAGGTTTTCTAAGATTAAAAAGGGATCTTGATGAAATGGCTCAATGGGCTGAAAAATGGCAGATGGAGGTCAATCTGGATAAATGCGAGATATTGCATTTTGGTACAAAAAACACGGGTAGGGCTAATACAGTTAGTGGTAGGACCTTGGGTGGTGTTGTAGAACAGAGGGACCTAGGTATGCAGGTACATAATTTTTTAAAGTTTGTGTCATGTATAGACAAGATGGTTAAAAAGGCATTTGGCATGCTTGCCTTCATTGCTCTGTCCTTTGAATATAGGAGTTGGGAAGTCATATTGTGGTTGTACAGGACATTGGTGAGGTCTCTTCAGGGATACTGTGTCCAGTTCTGGTTGCCCAGTTAAAGGAAGGATATTATTAAGCTGGAGAGGGTTCAGAAGAGATTTATCAGGATGTTGTTGGGTATGGAAGACTTGAATTGTAAAGAAAAGCTGGATAGGTTGGGACTTTTTTCCACAGGTAAATTTCTATAAAGGTTGCAAAATAATGAGAGGTATAGATAGAGTTAATGGTCGTTGCCCTTTTCCCAGGATGGGGGATTTCAAGACGAGGGGCACGTTTTTAAGGTGAGATGAGACAGATTTAAGAAAGACATGAGGGGCAGATTTTTTACACAGGGTGGTTCATGTGTGGATTGAACTTCCAGAGGAAATGGTGGATGCAAATTTAAAATATGTTTGGATAGGTACATGAATAGGAAAGGTTTGGAGGGATACAAGCCATGAGCAGGCAGGTGGGGCTAGTTTAGTTGAGGATTATGTTCAGCACGGACTGGTTGGACTGAAGGGTCTGTTTCTGTGCTGTATGACTCTGACAGGTGGAGATCATCTCCATATCCTCAGGCTGCGGGTGGCTGCTCATCCGTGACTTTCTCTATAGAAACAAAAGACTAACATCTGTTACACTCTTATCAGCGACAAACCCCTCGTGTGTGATTTGACACTAGTTGTAATGCCTACAAAGTTTGTAAATGTCTAAAACGTGAGAGAATGCGAGAAAAAGTCAGCCGGTCTGGCAGTATCTGTGGAGAGAGAAAAGCAGAGATAATGTTTCAAGTCTGGTATGCCTCTTCAGAATGACTAGACTGCTTGAACATGTGAATGACAGGGAGTAAGAATAAACATTGTCATTGCATACCAGCCTCCACTGAGAGATACTCAGCATCATGAACCTCTTCATTTTGCTGTCTAGATTCCAGGCCCACCTTTGTATGACTTCACCAAATGACTTTTGTTTTAATGCTGGAGAAACTGTTACAGGTTCAAATTTTGCTTTTCTGTTGTGCTGCTTTTTCATGCACATTGAACCAAACTGAACTGCTGGAGCTTTGAAGAGCGCAGAGATAATTGGTCACCATGTCTTTTGAAATATGCATGAGTTTGGTCTGCATGTCATGGGATGAAACATAAATTATTACATCAACCTTTTCTCATTCAACTACATTATTTAAAGATTTCTTTCAGAATGTTAAGGTGTGCCACTTATAAACATAGGCTGGGAACAAGTCATTTCTCCACCTAGGAGAACTATTATTTGCTTCATCTCCCCATATGATCCATGGGGTTCTTCCAGTTTTCTCCGAATCCTTGCACTGCCGCAGCAATTAATTACAAAGAGATTAATGAAATTCTTGCAGAAAATGAAAAATTGCCCCTAAGGCAGCAACAACTCTTTAAATTTGCTGCCATCCTAGATATGTATTGGAAACATACATTTCTTGGACAAGTACTAGGTAATAACTGTTTAGGTAGAACTAGCTTGTTCTGACTGTTGATGAAGTTACATGATCCAGATTGGTTAGCAGACTCATCTGGTAGTTTGAAATAAAAATGAAATATGGCAGAAATACTTAGCAAGTCTGGTAGCATCCCTGCAGAGAGAGACGGTTACATTTCAGGCCAGTGTATCTTCTTGGGTTCTTTTGAAAGCTTGCATGTGAGAAAACTTTGTGTATTCTCTCTCCACAGATGCTGAATATTTTCAGCATTTTTGTTCTTATTTGAGATTTTCAACATCTGCACCATTTTGTTTTAGTGTTGTCTGGGTATTTATTCGGTTTTGGCCTGACCTAGGAATGGAGAGAGATTGAGACTCTGGTTTGTTTCAAGTTAACTTATTGTTTAATGTTTCAACAATTTGCTCTCCTTGGAGAATCACTGTCCTTGTGGCTGATTTATTCTGTTAAGTTTTCTATTATGCAGCCTTTCCTGCCCTTACTTATTTGAAGAAAGCAATTCACCTATTGTCGACTGACTTTTATTATAAACTTAGATAACAAGGTGTAGACCTGGATGAACACAGCAGGCCAAGCAGCATCAGAGATGCAGGAAAGCTGATGTTTCGGGCCTAGACCCTTCTTCAGAAAATATAATATATTTATAATAAACTTGTCCAGTTTCCATAGTTCTCATAATTGAAGGCTAAAGTCAACACCTGAATCTCTTACTCTTTCATGTATTTTAAACACCCTTAAGGTCCTTTTGCTTGTTGACAGACCTTTTTATTTTATCCAGTGATTTCTCATGAGAGCAACCACTGCTTTTAACCACATCTGCCTTTCACAGAACAGTTTTCTCCCTTAAAATCAGAATTTTCTTTTTGGGCACGTAGTTTTCAATTAGCATAAGAATCTAATTTTTTCCATTCAATTCAATCTCAACTTCCAAAATGCTTCCAAAAATTATTTTTTTTTTTGATGTTTCACAATAACCATGCAAGACATAGATCGATACAGCATAGAGGCCATTTCAGTCTATCATGCCTGAGCTGAAAGAGTTATTCAGTCAATCCCAGTCCTTTTCTCTTTCTGAATAAACCAATATATAATGTTCAATTCCATTTTAGAAGCTATTGATTCTGCTTCCAGCAACTTCTCAGAAAATGAATTCCGGATCATTAAAGCATACTGCTTTGCAAACATTTATTTTGATCTCCCACCTGTTGTGTTGCTAGTTACATGCTCCAGTCAATAGAGAGATCGTGAAATAATTGCTAATGAGGGAATCTCAAGATCATTTACAATGTATGAAAATAGCTTTTTTTTTGTAGTAATTGTGCACTGTTATGGCTGTGCAATGCAGAGCATGCAGTTACATTTTTAATGTCCCTTTGTCCAGCGAAATCCAACAAATTTGGTGGAAAGGATGATGGTTCAACTTTCAAAGCTGCGCTGCTGTCTGGTCCTCCTGGTGTAGGTAAAACAACTACAGCTACTCTAGTCTGTAAGGTAAGAAAGCTTTATCCAAACATTAAATGTATTTTCCTTTTTGTGATTAACATGTGGTGCATGTTACAATGCAGTTTATTGCATTTTACAGTAACACCAAAGTTGTAGTATCAAGCCTGGGAGAAGCAACTTGATATCTTAAATAAGTCATGTCACATTTCTTAATCATAGCTGGAGTAATACTTTAGGATGTGACAGTCAGTCTTTTGTGCTTTCAGGGCACCTTTTAATCCACCTGAATTAATTTAGATTTAGCATGCAGGTCTTGTTGGTTGCAAGCAACAATATCCTGATTGCTAGCATTTGCATTTTCATTGCTGGAAAGAAAGTTGCAAACATCTAAGAAAAAGCGTAGTAATTTCTGCCAGGTAGTGAAAATGTAGCGAAAGGTTAATGCACCAGCATTTAGTGCAATGAACTTCCTTAGTGTAGAAATTTAACTATTATAATCTCCTGTTATTTTGTGTCCCATTATAAGCAGTTGCCGCATTAAAAACTAGGCTGTCTTTTTGTTCATGTCCATCTAATTAGCAAGATGTCATTAATGGAGGTTTCATAGCTCCTTATAGATTATAGTAAAAATGCACAAGTACTGATGTATATTTCAAGTGATTTATGCAACCTTGTAGGCAATTCTCAAGAAAAGCATTGATTACATTTAATACCCTGTAATCTTGTATTTTAGAAATAATATTCACCAAGTATTTTTTCATGCAGAAATCTGATCGCCTTTACTACCCTTTCTGAAAGTGTTTCCAGGAATCCACCTCGCTCTAGATGAAAAAAGTGTCAACTGCCCTTCAGTTTTTTTTGCCATGTACTTTGAATATATGCCCCTATTTATTGCTATGTTTGCTTAGGGAAATGGTTTCTTATTCTCCACTTGGATGCTGTGTCAACTTTGTTATTTTACTTGTTACTTTGCTATGACTCGTTAATTAGTTTTATTATTCATTGGGAATATTCAGTGACAGATATTCATGAGAGCCCTTTTATCAGAGCTGCGTCCTGTTTCTAGCTAATTAAAAATAATGATGCATGGGGAAATTCTGATTTTTAAGTACTGGGCCGTATGCTATGCAAATCCAACCAAACCAATACTAAGATTAAATGGGTTTAAAAAAATCCTCTGAAAATTCTCTTGTTCACAAAGTCGATTTATCTAATGAGTTGAGCTGCACAGGTCTGGGGAGGACAGAAAACGACTGACTCGTAATACTTCTTTCTGTGAATTAACCTGCCCCAATCCTGATTGAGGCTCATATGAAGAATTACCTTTTGAGTGAGATATTAGAGTACCATTGGAATCTGTGGAATTGTACCCACTACAAGGAGTAAATATATCTGTGAAGAGAGCTTTGTGCAGAAAATAGACAAAGAAAAATATTGGTATGTCCTGTTGTCACCATTATCCATTGCTGTGACTCATCAAATGCTGTGACCTTTTGGAATCATAGAACAGCACAAAGCAGGAGGAGATCATTTTGTGACTGGTCTTTTGCATGACTCTTAAGTTCCAATTCTTTGCTCTTACACCGTGTTTGTTTCTGTTAAATACTTATTCAATTTCCAAATTAATCTATATCCCCCACCCTATCAGGCCCTGTCCCCATTATGCAGTGCAGTCAAAATTATTGCATAATCTTTCTCACGTCATTTCTTTTGTTCTATCACTTTCCTGAAATCTTTGTCCTCCAGACTGAAAACATTGATTTTGTCTGATTTGTCTGATTCAAACTGTTTCCTACTATTTCCAGAGATAGTAGGAACTGCCGATGCTGGAGAATCTGAGATAACATGGTATAGAGCTGGATGAACACAGCAGGCCAAGCAGCATCAGAGGAGCAGGAAAGCTGACGTTTTGGGTCGAGACCCTTCTTCATCCAGCTCTACACCGTGTTATCTCCTACTATTTCCATGTCGCTCATTGGCAACTGGTCGAGATTAAGCCAGTCTGATTGCAACTTTCGTGTCCCATTTAACCCAAAATGAACTTCTGATCTTGTGTTAATATAATTTCCACTTCTGTAAATGTGATTGACTTTTCCCCCTGTTTCAGCTCATCTGAATTTTCTGATGCTTCATCACCTTTAAACTGGATCATTCTCATAACCTCCTGACTGCTTTCCTACCTGCTGCGCTCTGTAAACTTGATGTCATTTAAAACTTTGTTGACTGTGTCTTGTACCAAGTACCGTTTCCCTTTAAAATAAAGATATTGCTTGACTAATTCTTATCCTTGTTTTTCAAATCTGTCCATGGCCTTTCTCCTTTCAATCTCTAATCTTTTGCAGCTCCACATTCTTCTAAGACCTCTGTGTTCCTAATTCTGGCCTCTTGTTTATGCTTGATTTTAATTACACCAGCTTAGCTCCAGAATACCCTCTATACCTCTCTGTCCCTCCTTAAAAGACCCACCTTCAACCTACCTCTTTGACCAAACCTTTGATCATCCTTTCCTTATTATTATTTCCTTATGTGGTTTGTTCACACAGTCATAGAATTGTTATAGTATAGAAGGAGGCCATTAGGTTAATTGGGACTGTGCTGGTTCACTGTATTAGTAGTTCGTTGAGTGCCATTCTCCTGACTTCTCCCTGTAACTCTGCACACTCTTCCTTCACAGATAACAGTCCAATTCTGCATTAAATACTTTGATTTGGACCTGCCTTCTGCATGCTCTCCTGCAGTGCATTCCAGACCTTAAACATTTGTTTTGTTAAAAGCTTGCGTTTTTAAAAATGCATTTTAAAAAATAATTCAATACAAGTTTGTTTTTTCTGAAAGGATCTGGGCTACAGCTATGTTGAACTTAATGCCAGTGTCACTCGCAGCAAAAACACACTGAAGGAAGTGATAGCAGAGTCACTCAACAATACAAGTATCAAAGGATTCTCCTTAGGTGGGTACTGATGAATGAAGTGGGTCCACATTGGATTTGCCAATACACCGTTGTCACCAGTTAACAAATAGCTAGCTAGCTTTTCTGCTGTGTTTTAAATTACATCTTTCTTTTTAGGAGCACCATCAGTAAGCACCAAACACTTGCTAATCATGGATGAGGTGGATGGGATGGCTGGCAATGAGGACAGGGGAGGGATACAGGTAACAGTTTGCTTTATTTAACGTGGAGCTTATTTGTTTAAATTACGCCCAGGCAATTTTTAACATAATGCTAAGTCTAGTTTATGTTTGAACACTGGGTGACTGTGAAAAAGGGAACTGCTCTTTTCTGTTGTATTTGCAGGATGGTGTTTCCAACAGCATATAGTATTTGGTATGAACTTGACTGGCTCAGTGAAATGTTACTGATTTATCTGTAGTGTTGATTCATCACAGGTGTTAACCTGGTGAACTACCAAACAGGTCTACTTGCATAACAAACAGCAGCAAGCGATCCCACAACCAGTGGGTTAGATCTAAACTCTGCAATCCTACCGCAACCTGTTGTGACTGGTGTCAGCCAAATAAACAACTCGGACGAAGAATCTCCACAAATATCCCCATTGGCAATGATGGAAGAGCTCAACACAAAAGATAAGGCTGAAGCACCTGCAACAGTCTTCACCCAAAAGTGCCGAATGGATGATCCATTTTGGCCTCCTCTGGTAGTCCCCAGCATCACAGATGCTGGTCTTTAGACGATTTGATTCACTCCACATGATTCCAAAAAACAGTTGGAGATATTGGATATTGCAAAGGGTTTGGACCCCGATAATACTTCTGCAATAATACTGAAGACTTGTGCTCCAGAACTTTTCGGTCCCCAGACAAGCTGTTCCACCACAGTTACAACACTGGCATCTACCCGACAATGTAGAAAATTGCCCAGGTATGTCTTGTATGTTTAAAAAAAACAAGACAATTCCAACCTGACCAATTACTTCGGCTACACCACCTCTCACCCACCCTCCTGCAAAAATGCTATCCCATACTCCCTATTCCTCCACCTCTGTTGCATCTGCTCCCATGATGAGGCGTTCCACTCCAGGAGATCACAGATTCAGGAATCGCTGAAGTCAGAGGACTGGAAAATCACTAACATGACACCCCTGTTTAAAAAGGGAGTTAGGCAAAAGACTGAAAATTACAGGCCGATTAGCCTAACCTCGATCATGGGTAAGATTTTAGAGTCCATTGTGACGGATGAGATTTCTGAATACCGTGGAAGTGCACGGTAAAATAGAGCAAAGTCAGCATGGCTTCATCAAGGGCAGATCATGCCTGACGAGCCTGTTAGAATTCTTTGAGGTAGTCACGAGCAAGTTAGACAAAGGAGAGCCAATGGATGTTATCTACCTGGACTTCAGGAAGGTCTTTGACAAGGTGCCGCACAGGAGGCTGCTGAGTAAGATAAGGGCCCATGGTGTTAGAGGCAAGGCGCTAGCATGAAAAGAAGACTGGCTGTCTGGCAGAAAGCAGAAAGCGGTGTTAAAAGGGTCCTCTCAGGATGGCAGCCGGTGATAAGTCGTGTTCCGTAAGTGTCAGTGTTGGCACCGCAACCTTTCACTAAATACATTAATGTTCTAGATAAAGGAACTGAGGGCATTCTGCCTAAGTTTGCAGATGATACAAAGATAGGTAGAGGGACAGGTAGTATTTAGGAGGTAGGGAGGGTACAGAGGGATTTGGACAGGTTAGGAGCATGGGCAAAGAAGTGGCAGATGGAGTACAACGTGGAAAAGTGTGAGGTCATGCACTTTGGTAAGAAGAATAAAGGCATGGACTATTTTCTAAATAGGGAGAAAATTCAGAAGTCTGAAGTGCAAAGAGACTTGGGAGTTCTAGTCCAGGATTCTGTCAAAGTAAACTTGGAGGTTGAGTCAGTAGTTAGAAAGGCAAATGCAACTTTGGCATTTATTTTGAGAGGACTCGAATATAAAAGCAGGGATGTACTTCTGAGGCTCTATAAGGCTCTGGTCAGACCACATTTGGAGTATTGTGTGCCGTTTTGGGCCCCATATCTCAGGAAAGAGTTACTGGCCCTGGAGCGGGTTCAGAGGAGGTTCACGAGAATGGTCCCACGAATGAAAAGCTTAACATAAGAGGATTGTTTGAGGACTCTGGGTATATACTAGATGGAGTTTAGAAGGATGAGGGGATATCTAATTGAAACTTACAGAATACTGAATGGTGTGGACAGAGTGAATGTTGGGAAGATGTTTCCATTGGTAGGAGAGACTAGGACCTGAGGGTACAGCCTTAGAGTAAATGGAAGACCTTTTAGAATGGCGATAAGGAGAAACGTCTTCAGCCAGAGAGTGGTGAATCTATGGAATTCACTACCACAGAAGGCTGTGGAGGCCAGGTCATTGAGTATATCTAAAATGGAGATAGATAGGTTCTTGATTGTCAAGGGGATCAAGGGTCACGGGGAAAAAGTGGGAGAATGGTGTTGAGACGTTTATCAGCCATGATTGACTGGTGGAGCAGACTCGATGGGCTGAATGGTTTCATTTCTGCTTCTGTCTTGTATCCTACTTTAGGGACTGTAATTTCCCCTCCCCTATAATTAGGATGCCCTCAACAGCATTTTCTCCATTTCCTGCACTTCTGCCCTCAAACCCCATCCCCCACCTCCAAAACAATAGTAAGGATAGTGTGCCCTTAGTGCTCATGTACCAAACCATTGACCTCTGAATCCAATGCATCATCCTCCAACATTTCCACCACCTGCAATCAGATCTCACCACCAAAAAGATATTACCCCCCTCACCCCTGTCCGCTTTCCACCGGGAGTGTTCATTCCGTGACTCCATTGTCAGTTCTACACTCTCCTCCAATTCCGCCTCCATGTCTGATACCTTTTCCCTGCAACTCCAAGAGGTGCAATACATGCCCCCACACCTCCCTTCTCTCCTCCATCCAAGGCCCCAAACAATCCTTCCAGATCCAGCAGAGATTCACCTGCACTTCATCCAACCTGATCTGTTGTATCCATTGCTCCTGATGTGGCCCCCTCTATATCGGGGAAACCAAACGCAGACTTGGGGACTGGTTCATGGAGCATCTGCGCTCTGCACACAACAACAAACCTGACCTTCAGGTTGCCATCCATTTTAATTTCCCATCGCATTCCCCTGACGACATGTCCATCCTTGCCCTCCTCGACGTAAACTAGAGGACCAACAGGTGATATTTTGCCTTGGAAGCTTACAGCCCAATGGTCTTAATATTGACTTCACCAGTTTCGAAATCCCTCCACCCCCAGCCTTATCCCATGTCCAGCCCTCCACCTCCTGACCTGACCTAACGTACCCATCTTCTCACTCACCTATCTGCTCCACCCTTCCCACGGACCAATCACAATAACCCCTTATCTGCATCTACCTATCATCATCTGTCCTACCCTCCTATAGCCCTACCTCCCTCTTATTTATTTCTGGGCTCCCCTCCCCCACCCCAGCCCTGACAAAGGGCTTTGGCCCGAAACGTTGACTTCCCTGCTCCTCAGATGCCGTCTGACCTGCTGTGCTTTTCCAGCCTCAAACCTCTAGACTGTGGCTTCCAGCATCTGCAGTCCTTATTGTCTCCTACTAATTACTGCTCTATCAGTGTACTGTCGATTATCAGTAAAGTGATAGAAAGTGTCATCTATAGTGCTATCAAGCATCGCCTGCTTAGCAGTAACCTGCTCCGTGACGCCCAGTTTGGGTTCTGCCAGGCCACTCGGTTCCTGACCTCATTGCAGCCTTGATTCAAACACAGACAAAAGACCTGAATTTCTGAGGTGAGGTGAGAGTGATGGCCCCTGACAAAGACGCTGCATTTGACCGAGTATGGCATTAAGGAGCCGTAGAAAAACTGGAATCGGTGCGAATCATGGAGCAAACTCTCTACTAGTTGGTGTCACACTTGGCAGATAGAGGATAGTTATTGTTGGAGGTCAGTCCCCTTGGCTTCAGGACAATTCTGCAGAAGTTCCTGAGGGTGGTTTCCTGGGCCAAACCATCTTCACCTGCTCCTTCAGTGAACTTCCCTCGATCACAAGGTCAGACGTGTGTGTTCGCTGATAACTGCATCGTGTTCAGCACCATTTCTGACTCCTCAGATACTGAAGCAGTCCATTTTCAAATCTAACAAGACCTGGGCAATGTTACAGCTTGGGCCGACAAGTAACGTTTGTGCCACACAAATGCCAGGCAATGACCATCTCCAATAAAAGACAATTTAACCACTGCCCCGACACTGAATGGTGTTACCATCACTGAACGCCCCCCAACCCCACCCCAACCCATTAACATCCTTGGTTACCTCTGACTAGAAACCCAACTGGACTTGCCATATAAATACAAGAGCAGGTCAGAGGTGAGGAATACTGTGGTGAGAAACTAAACTCCTGACTCACCAAAGCCTGTCCACCATCGACAAGGCACAGGTTGGGAGTCTGATGGAATACACAGTGTGATGTCTGCAGCTCCAACAACATTCAAGAATCTTGACATAATCCAGAACAAAGCAGCCTGCTTGATTGGCACCGCATCCACTCCCTCTGCCACTGATGGTCAGTAACCACAGTGTATTCTCTACAAGATGCGCTGCAGAAATTTACTAAAGATCCTCAGACAGCCAGCACTTTCCAAACCCATGATCACTTCAGACTAGAAGGATAATGGCAGCAGATACATGGGAATACCACTACTTGCAAGATTCTTTCCAAACCACTTACCATCCTGACTTGGAAATATTTTGCTGTTCCTTTACTGTCACTGGGGCCAAATCCTAGAATTCCCTCCCTAAGGACGTTGTGAGTCAACACACAGCACACTGACTGCAGTCGTTCAAGAAGGCTGCTCACCACTGCCTTCTCAAGGGCAACTCTGGACAGGCAATAAAATGCTGACCCAACTAATGATGTCCACATCCCATGAGTGAATAGATCATTTGAAAAAAGAACAGGAAGCTGCTGTTTCAGTGAAATTATATTTGGAAAATGCACTTGCCCCCTGCAGGATCTTGCTTGTTTCTATTGCCACTGAAGCGTTGAGAATCAGTGTAACTGGGGTCACCTGTAGTTAGTCTCACAAGTGTTACCGGTTCCTAAACCATTAGTAAACAAGTTGAGATTTTTGCTCTGGCAAAGTTATTTGCTGACAAATTAATCA